AATTGTGGGGACTTTCCATAGACTTCTATTACTTTTATACTGACCAAACGATATTTTCTATCCTAACCCAACCCTAACCCTAACCCTAAACCTACCCCTTACAGAAAACCTGTGTGCATTGTTACACTTTCAGATAAATATCATTTACTATTTTTAATAATTATTTTCCCTCGGGACTGCAGGCAAGTCAAAAATGTAAGGTTTTACTATGCTTGTGGGTGTGGTCCCCACAATGTAGCATAAACATACCCCTTACAGGAAACTTTGTGCATTTTTAGATTTTCAAAAAAATTCACTCTGTGTGATTTATTAGCTTGTTTACCCGTGGGGACCTCAATTTAGGTCCCCACCGTCACACGAGTCCCCATGAGTCTGTGTGTATTCGGGTTTAAGTCCCCACCAGAATAGAAAAACAGGTACACACATTACACACACACACACACACACACACACACACACATTTAACAATTTATTTAAATCCACTTAAAATAAATAATTTGCAGGGACATAAATATTACAGATGCAGATAGATACATGTACAAAAATGGACCAGTGGCATGCAACAGATCTCTCACACACACACACACACACACTCTCTCACTCACTGCAGCTTTTATCCACTGTTCAGTTCATTTGTTTATGGCTGTTTTTACAATATATGTAGTTGCAGCTTTAGAAGAACAGTTCATGCCATATGCAGGAGTGTGTTATAGAAAAGTTATGGCTGGAAATGGAAAAAAAAAAGTATTGCATGTAATCATAAGCACATTAACATGTGACCACACACTTACATGCCAGTGACGTCGGTTGAGTGATTAGAAACTTGGGCTGTGTCTGAAATCTCATACTCTCTGAGCAGGTTTCTTTTGATTCATTAAACAAGCATGTTCTCTGTAGTATGAATGTGTGTAGTATGAACATAATCTGAATATCCGTGATGTTGTCATTGTCATGTGATCTGCCAACATCAGTTGTGTCACTTCACTGCAATTTACAAATCCTCTCCCGTGGCCTCAAGGGATAGTACAGTGTCCATCGGATGCACACTTTAGTTTAGAGTCTCGTTGGATGTAGCTGGTCATCCCAGTACTTTTCATCTACTGTTTTATGAACATGAATTTGGACATACTACTGTTTATATAAGTTCCCTTTCAGTCGGTCACTCCGAGTCACGTCGGAGTGACCAACGAATTGGGATCTCACTTCGAGAGACCAATCTATTTCGAGTGTAAACTAAACGAGCCAATGCACATTGGCATGCGACTATTGCATCCAGCTGCTGCTGATCACAGCGTGAGTATAAGTAGGCAGCAGATGCAGCGCATATTCAGGTTTTCGCTGAGGAGCCGAGTGACATCATCGTTCTGCTCCTGCCAAGCTTTCGTGTGAAAATGACACGTTCAACACGCTCTAAGGGAGCTTTTGTGTTGGCGGACGACGCTTTAGCAGTGGTCGTTCCTGTGTCGAGTGGGTTGCGCACTTCAGGCTGCACTACCCCCTCTTGTGCTGCATGCGGCCATCTCCCCTGTGCGTCTCAGCACCTGAAAGAGCATTTCCCTAAAAGAGCATTCATGGGTGTGTCTTTTTAAAGATGACGTTGCGTCTGGCAAACTCACCATTGTGCCGGGTGATGGTCATGATTGCTGCCTCACGTGCCTGGGCATTAAGTACGGTGCTAGCGGTGCGCCTTGCCTTGAACCGTCTCAAAGGGTGCTTACGAGGCAAGCACGTGCTGCTCCAGTCGGACAACAATGCGACCGTTGCGTACATCAACCAACAAGGTGGTCTGCGCTCCCATTACATGTTGCAACAACACTTATTCACACGCAATTGCTCTCTCAATAATGTATTCAAACAAATGCCTGGCTGCAGCCAGGCGAGGACTACTTCAGGCGGTGGCACAGGTGGTCTGAGGGTTACAATGGTGGCAAACCCTCCAGGGAACCAACCCTCGAGGGACCATCGCTCCTCTTGTGCTCCGCAACCAGTTGAGCTGCTAAAGGAACGTGCTGGGCCCTCTACAAGGAGCGTACGAGCAGTATCCTTTGGCGCTTCTCCCGACGATCGGATGTTGATCGCTGCATCGGAGGGCGAGACATGTTGCAACAACACTTATTCACACGCAATTGCTCTCTCAATAATGTATTCAAACAAATGCAATCTTATACAGTGCTACTTCATCTGCATCCGATTTCGAATGAGCAGAAATCTGTAAGAAATGCAGCGATCCGTACTGTTATTTTCATCACAAACAAAATTTGCACTGCAAAAAGCATCAATAGCGTACCTTTTAATGCTGACAACCATGTTATTAGCTTGTCATGTGGTAGGAAAAAAGTTTGCACACTAGTGTTCCAATAATCTACTTTGAAACGCTCCTGTCATTTTATTTATTTTATTTTATTATTTTAATATATGTTATGAACAGAACTGTGACATATCAACATACTGAAATACTTTAGCCATGGAGCGGTGTTTCTGATATCAGTGAGCGAGGAGTGGAGCGGGAGCAGGAAATGGTGAACCCGGAGCGGAGCTGAAGCGGAGTGATTATTAAATGCTCAGAGCGCGGAGGGGAAATTGTTGCCGCTCCACTCCACTCACATACTCTGATTGGTAGTGCTACGGCAACAGTGACTGGCCTTCTTGTTACGAGCCCCGGCCTACACCAAAAAGGGCCGCAGGAGGTTCGCACAAGACACTGGAAGGGGCAGCATCTGTGATACGGCACCTTTTACTGCCGAAAATCGACCTGCTAGCTCCTCCTCCCTCACCACCCTCGACAGTGGTGCAGCTAGGGGGTATACGGGGTTTCCCCGGGGGAGCAGTCGGTTGCGATGCAGTTGTGTCCTAATACTTCCTCCATCTGGTGGGACAAACCGTGCCTCCCCATCCAGGCCTGTGGGTACTTGTCTGGTCTGTCCGACGATTCTTATGTGGCCTGTGGAGAAGCTGCCTCCACCTTACACGCTACGGCATTGATGGGGCAGCATCCATGGCGCTTTGGTAGGAATCCCAATTCGTCGGTCACAGACGTGACTCGGAGTGACCAACTGAAAGGGAACGCCTCAGTTACGTATTTAACCCTCGTTCCCTGAAGGAGGGAATGGAGACGTCACGTCCCGTCACCACGGCTGCTGTACCACCACTGAGCAGCTGGGTCACCGGCTTGGCTTCTCGGCGAAAACCTGGTATGCATTAACCCTCCTGCCTTTTTATGCTCACGCTGTGATCAGTGCCTGCTGGATGCAATCATTGCATGCCAATGTGCATTGGCTCGTTTAGTTTATGCATGAAGTAGATTGGTCTCTCGACGCGAGATCCCAATTCGCTGGTCACCAACGTGACGTCTCCATTCCCTCCTTCAGGGAACGAGTGTTACATATGTAACCGAGACGTTTTTTCACCAACTAAATAGAATATAAGTGTGTGATTTTGGATGCAGCCTTGGTCTGTCCAGTCAAAAGAAGTAGATGTAACTTTACAAGGAAGCTTTTAATGATGGATGAGTAGTTCAAAGCTGAAACCACACAGCAAATGTGCAGCTTGTGACTCATCTGAACGCCTCTGATTGGCCATTGCATTCCTAAGCTCAACAGACTCATGTGTTTTTGGTTATAATGCGCAGCGCTGTAAAAACGTGTAAAAAGAATCATGGTGCAACATTGAGCAGATCTAAATTTTATGCTGCGGTCAACACTTTTGATTTCATTTTCATTTCATTCGTCACAGCCATAATGGATTAATTTTAACTGTACAGCAGCATTTGTGTTCGTGTGTTGCCATAGTTTCTACAAGCAGAAGCCAATAGTGCAGATATTACGTCATCGATAGGCGACAATGACCAGAGACTAGCCATTATTTAAAATTGTAATTTCTCTGGGTTTACAAATCCTTGGGAACTTTTGGGATAACGTAAGTACACAAGTGCATTAAATATATCACACTGTGCAAGTGGTTTTTGGATATTTTATTACGAAAATCTTACATATTGTGCTTTTAATGGAAAGGTCAGAGAGAGGATGGAAAATGCTCATAAAAACTAGTGTTTTTGGAGAAAGAAACCTTGACTAACATTAGTGGACAAAATAGTATTTAAATCTATTTTGATCATGTGATACAGTTGTGAGTCTAATATGGGCTGATGTGAAGTTGTAATGATTCCACTAGAGGTCAGTACAGGGCTGTAACTGTAATCTTCCCATATGCCATCATCATCATCATCATCATCATCATCACTTATCACCAGACCATGAATATACTGCATGTATTTATAAATACAGTTAATTGTATGTGTTTTTTAATATTGTTTAATCTTTGGTTAAAGGTAAAACAATCTTAAGCATGTAAACGTCTCCCTGTCGGAAGAGCACAGTGAATCTACCACATGGTCAAGGATGTAAACGTTGGCTAGTTAGTATCTTTATGTCACAAAGGAAATGACTGTGTCTCACTCAGTCTATTTCTCATTTGGTGTAATTGTATTCTGTTGTCCT